AGGTGAGCCCGGGGCCAGCTGCGCCAGGAGCCAGAGGACTCCGCACTCTGGGGCTGCTTCCTGGCCCCGGGGCCTGGGCGGCTGCCCGGGTGGGTGGACCTGTCCGGCCAGGGGAGGGCAGGATGGTCGGCGGGCCCGGCCCCTGCTGGGGAGCCCTCGGCTTTCGGGGGGTGTCTGCTGCCTGGGCAGATGGGGCGGCGGCCCAGACAGGCCCCCCTCGGCCTCGTCCGCATCGTAGTGGCAGCCCAGCTGCCCTCCCCACCTGCTGGTCCGAGGCCCAGCCTGAGGCGAGTGATCCCAGACAGCAGGGGCCGGGCCCACAAAGCCTCAGCCCAGTGGGGTCCACACCCCATTATTCCCCCTCCATCCAACAGCCCGGCTCTTTGCACTGCCAGAGGGGAGCATGGCTGGGTCCAGAGCTGAGTGTGGGCACTTGCCCCACTTTTTTTATTTTTTTAAATTAACTTCAGAAAGGAAGGGAGAGGGCGAGAGAGATAGAAACATCATTGATGAGAGAGAATCACGGATCAGCTGCTCCTGCACACCCCACACTGGGGATCGAGCCCAGGCCTGTGCCCTGACTGGAATCGAACCTGGGACCCTTCAGTCCACAGGCCGACGCTCTGTCCGCCAGGCCTGGGCGGGACTTCAGTGAAGAGTGACGGAGAGGCCTGCAAAACCCCCATCAACGCCTCTTACCGCACCGAGCTCACCTTTTATTCAGCAAAGGGCCTTTTTATTTCGGTTCACAGAATGGAACATTTTGTTTCACGTCTCAGATTTATTTTACACTAGAGGCTGGGTGCACAAATTCGTGCACAGGTGGGGTCCCTCAGCCTGACTGGAGACCGGGGCCTATTCCGGCCCTCTCGCCCAGTCCTAATTGGGGCCGATCAGGGCCGGCCGGCTGCGGGGAGGGACCGCGGGGAGGTTGGCTGTGGGAGTGCACTGACCACCAGGGGGCAGCTCCTGCTTTTAGCGTCTGCCCCCTGGTGGTCAGTGCGCATCATAGCGACCGGTTGTAACGGTCATTCAGGCTTTTATATACATAGACTAGAGGCCTGTTGCACGAAAAGATTCGTGCAATAGGCCTTCCCTTCCCCTGGCTGCCGGCACCGGTTTTCCTCCGGCACCCGGGACCCAGGCCTTTGCTCCGGCTGGAGCCGCCTTCAAGCCTTCGCTCTGCCGCTTCGCACCTATGTATGCAAATTAACCGCCATCTTTTTCGGTGGTTAATTTGCATATCTCGCTGATTAGCCAATGGGGGGTGTCGCGAAGGTACGGTCAATTACCATGTTTGTCTATTATTAGATAGGATTGTTAACACTCCGCCTCACTGTCCTCTGTGACATAGTCTTTGTCTAGTTAGAAAATTTTAGTAAGTCAACAAATGTTTTAAATGTGTTACAGCCGCATTTATAGACATTGTTATACTGAAACCATCTTTTTTTAAAAAAATATTTTTATTGACTTCAGAGAGGGAGAGGGAGAGAGATAGAAACATCAACGATGAGAATCATTGATCAGCTGCCTCCTGCACGCCCCCTACAGGAGGTCAAGGACATGTGCCCTGATAGGGAATTGAACCTGGGACCCTTCAGTCCACAGGCTGACGCTCTATCGCGAGCCAAACCGGCCAGGGCTGCAGAAACCACCTTGAGTCCCACCAGGCACAGCGGCCGGGGTCCGCTCTCCCGTCCAGGCGGCGCCCGCATCTGGGTTGCAAGTTGCACAAGCATCACGGTGCCCGGTGCTGGTGACCCGCGGGCGCCACAGGCTGGACGCCGCCTCTGTGGGTCGGGAGGTGCCCGCAGCGCCGATCTGGAGTGAATGTTTCTCTCTGGAGGTGATGGAGGGACCTCCATGCCGTGGGCAGGGCTGTCCGCACGCAGGGGAGGTCCTGCGGTTTTTCTTAATTTATTTCATCCAGTTCTCCAGACGTGGCCTCGCCTCCGGACGGATTCCCGTAGGAAACGCTGAGGACTGCAGCAGCCACGTGCACTTTGGGG